TTAATTTCTGCCCCCAATGTTTACTCTCTATCTGCATCTACTTGTTTGGGGTATGGTTTTGTTCCTGCTTTTCTAGAAGTTTGAGTTGCATCATAAGGCTATTTATTTGCAGCTTGCTTTTCAAGTCAGCTAGAGGCTATCTCTGTGCTGCCCCTGATGGCACTGAGCAGAGGCAGCAGCAGAGCTAGAAAGACACTGATATCAGCGGCCCCGGCCAGTACTGCCCGGCTCAGGAAAGCTGTGACTCCCCACCTCCCGTGCCAGAGAGTTGTCACTGCTCTCTCCCAAACCAGACTGGTGCGATCAGGAGCCGGCACCGGCTGCTGCTCAATGTCCTCTCCAACCTGAGACCTGCCGAGAGCCCGGCCTGATGGGAGAGCTGCTCCCCACCACCATGGCCTGTCTGTCACCTGGTGTGTGATGATGCCTCCTGCGTGCAGACATCAGGAAGACTGAGCTTTAAGGGTCCTGGTGCCTGGTTTCGGGAACTAGGGCAGCTCTGATGCAGGTTCTGTGAGTGCCCCATTTTAAACAGGGGGAAGTAGAGGCTCAGGGCTCATGGTTACTGTCTGTGGAAGGACTGCGGAGACCTGGCTCTGAGTAGCAGCGAATGTGGCTTCAGAACTCACTGCCAAACTTCTCATCCCCATCTCCTTTTTTTGGTAGTATCGGGTTGGACTCAGGGCTTGGTGCTCCCTAGGCAGGTGCTCTACCTCTTGAGTCTCATCTCCAATCCTTTTTGGTTGCATTATTTCTGGGAGAGGGGCTCATACCTTGTCTGGACCACAGTCTTCTGGGTATGCTTTCCATGTAGCTGGAAGGCAGGCAGACACCACTGTCTAGGGTTTTTCTGTTGAAATGGGGTCTTGAGGAATTTTTTTTTTCTTTTTGGTCTGGGCTGGCCTGTAGCTGTGATCTTCCTGAATCCCAAGTAACTACGACGACAAGTACATGCCACTGTTGCCAGCTGTTGCTTGGATGGGTGTCTCATGAATTTCTGACTCAGCTGGCCTCAAATGACAGTCCTCCTGATCTCCACCTGAGCAGCTAGGTATGAGCCCCTGGCAGCCCTCCCTTTCTCTTCCTTCTTTCTTCCCCTCCCCTCTCTCATCCATTTGTTTTTTTCAGGAGGCGGACTACCAGCAACAATAGGAAACAAGTACCTTGACAAAGGGGCGGACTTAGGAGGTGAAGGGGCTCCATTTTGGATGTGTTAAGACAGAGTGAAGTGTGTGGTTTAGAAAAGAACTTCACACTCCACCCAGATGTGGGAGTACTGCTTGCTCTCTACATCCTGGGATGGGTGAGATTTCTCATGGCGAAAAGACAGGGGCGCTGTGCAGAGGGAGAAGTTCAAGAGGAAGTCCAGCGTCTCGGTGGAAACGAGCACAGGCTCACGCTGTCACCTTCGGAGAAAGGCTCCACTGCCGGCTGCCAGCCTGCGCGCTGCACTTTCCTGGGCCTCCCCACTCTTGTGATGTGCTTTTCCCGTCCTAGGCCTGAGCCCTGGGCTTAGGCCGGTGCGCTCATGGGCTTTGCTGCTGGACTGGCTTCGAACCTGTGAGCTAAGGGCACCAGCTGCATTTTAAACGTTAGTCCGGCGCCAGTGGCTAAAACCAGACTGGAAATGGAGCCCTCCGCTGCGTCACTCGGGGGTCAAGCCGGCGGCGGGGGGGGGGCGGCTGGGGCGGGCCCGGGCCCGTGGGCCGAGGGGAGCTGCGGAAGATCGGTTCTGCAGCAAACCTCCCCGCCGCGGCGGGTCCCAGGCTGGGGGTGCGGCCGCAAGCGGGGGTCGGGGGGGCTGGGGGGTCTGTCGGGGGGTCTCTGGCCGGCCGGGTCGGAGGAGCTGGGGGCTCTTCCGGCCGGGTCAGAGGGCGTGGGGGGGTCTGTCGGGGCTGGGGGCTCTGCCGGCCGGGTCAGAGGGGCCGGGGGTCTCGGCCGGGACAGCGCGGGCCTCACTCCCGCGGTGGCCGACCTGCCCGACCCGCGGGGCCCCTCCCACCCGTGTGCCCCCGCTCACGTCGGGGGCGGGAGGCCTCCCGCGGGAGCACGCACGCTCCGCATCCGGTCCAGCGACGGAAACCAGCCCCGCCTCGTGTGGGAAGGGGTGCCGGCACGCACGTGGGCAGAGCACCCCGACTCCGCGGTCCGGAGGCCCAGGCTCAGCCGCGCATGCGCCGTTCCGGGCGGGAACTGTCCCCGCGCCCTCCAGCCTGAGCCCCAGCGCCACTCCCGGTGTCCTGGTGGTTCACTGGAGGTCAGGGTCTCACGGCCTTCCCTGCCCGGGCTGGCTCCGAACCGCGATCCTCAGGTCGCAGCCTCCAGCGGCCGGGATGACAGGCGCGAGCCCGGAGCGGCAAACGCGGTGGGTGCCGTCCGGCCTCGGCAGCGCCGAACAGCAGGCCGGGCCGGCGGAAAGGAGCCCGGGCCGGCTCCGTAACCGTGGGGAGACGCGACGGCAGAGAGGCGACC